AACCTCTCATCAATTAAGAGCATTGGCCATATTCAAAAGGGTGGAAAAGTTTGGGGAAAACTTTTTCATCAGGGAGACTAGGCTGGAAGGAGTGTTCTGTTTCCCAAGTTGGATTCAGCATAGGAAGGATGATGGTAAGTGAATCAGCACATGATGAGGATGTTTGGAAGGCACTTCTCCTGGAGGAAACATCTGCCTTCGGATTGGATCACACCTTTTCTAAAATGGAAGGTACCTCTGGAGAGGGGTTGCCTGGCCATCTCTAGTTGATCGGCTTCTGCTTTTGCCTAGAATCACAGCAACCAGTCAATGAGAATTTGAAGGGGTATAAGGCACATTTTGTCCATTTTCTCTAGCTCCACAACTATCATTTTTCCTTTTGTGATGGACAAATAATTGTCCCAGAGAGTCCAGTGTTGTGGGTTGTGAGGTGGCAATCTGTGTGACGTGATTTGATCAACACTTAGAAGTCCTCCATTTTCATCAGCTCATACTTTTTTTTTATTTTTCCCCATTTGTTCTTCCTTTTGTTTAAGAGGTTCATTGCCCAGGTAACATCCCAGTGCATAAATGCTTATAACACAAGAGACACAACCACACCAACAATTGTAGAGCATTTCCTAGTAGGCAGAACACATACACAGTCATCGTTTCATTTGATCCAAATTTCAGAACAGCCCTGGGGAAAAGGTATGCTTAGTCATTCACCCTGGAAATGGGAAAATGAAATCTTATCAAGGCCAGAATCTCAATCATAGTTGCTGAACTGGGCTTCTTGATTTGGTAGCTGATACCATATTAATTGGCTCATCAGAAAACTGGTTATGAAATTGCTGAAGGTTAGTGTCTTTAGAGGTAATTTAGCAGGTTGCCTCCTGCTCCTCCTCCTCCTGCTCCTCCTCCTCCTCCTCCTGCTCCTCCTGCTCCTCCTGCTCCTCCTGCTCCTCCTCCTCCTCCTCCTGCTCCTGCTCCTCCTTCTTCCATAAATGAGAGAATTAATCAGAAAGTAATGAGTAAGTAATTTTCCTAACTCATGCAAACCTGGGTTTTCCACACATGTTTGGGTTGCATTTGGTCTAGCCGTGTTGATACATTTTGTTCTCTCAATCATTGTGGTTCTGTTTGACATTGCAGCTGGTGGACTTCAGGGAGGTGGTTTCTCAAGTGCTGGGCTTGAACATGACCAGTCTCGCTCTTCCTGACTATGAATCATCAAATGTCTTGAAAGACTGATACATTCACATCAGCATCACTTTGTCACCTGTGCCTGCCTCAAAGATGTGACCACAAGGGAAGATGGACACCCACAAGGCCACTTACAGCTTCTTCATTGAACACCATATCTCTTGAGGGAGGTGGAGATGAGAGATCGGACAGAGTTCTCAATTTCACAAATTACCCAAACCTTAGTAGTTTGATCAGTGTGTGCATCTCATATACTTTGATGATAGAGCAAGAATCGATCATGGGCAAAAAAGCATCTCAAAGGTGCCAGCCTTAGGTAAATGTTTGGCACTAAAATCACCTATTATTTTATTTGATAGCACTTTTGGGTCCAGATGAATTTCACTAGATTTTGTATCTAGAATGGGAAATGACGGTAGAGAATTAACAATTATGGGGTTTCTATTGTGAGTCAGGAGTTCTACTACCCAATTTAATTCTCATAATAACCATGTGGAGAAACTTTAATGTTTTTACTTTACAACCTCTCTGGGGCTTGAGAGGTGATCTTGGTTACCTACCTATGATTGCAGTTAGTTAGTGACAGAACCAGAATGAAAACCAGGTCGGCTCAGTATCAAAGACTGCACCTTCTCTGTTATTTCACAGTCCTACTGTTTCTCCTGAAATTTCTGCGATTCTGGTGGAAATTGCCTTCATCACAAAGGAAGGAAAACATCTGTACAATCAAGGATTGAAGTCCAAAAGTGACTGAGATTTATGATTGTAACCCACATGATTTCTTTAAAAAGCCATACATGGGCTTCCCTGGTGGCGCAGTGGTTGAGAGTCCACCTGCCGATGCAGGGGACATGGGTTCGTGCCCCGGTCCGGGAAGATCCCACATGACGCGGAGCGGCTGGGCCCGTGAGCCATGGCCGCTGAGCCTCTGTGTCCGGAGCCTGTGCTCCGCAACAAGAGAGGCCACAACAGTGAGAGGCCCGCGTACCGCAAAAAACAAAACAACAACAAAAAACCCAAACATACACTGTCATAATATTATTTTTCCATTTTGACTTATCATTAATTGTATTTCCAGATTCATATAAGAGATTAAAAATGGTCCATACTAAAAATGGTTAGTCCTGTACTTTCTCCTTATTACACAAAATTACATTCCATTTACCTAAATATGCATTTATATAATATTTCCAAAATATAACTCAAGCATAGATACAATCATCTTTCATACATATAGAAATATTTAAAGTGTTTGAATATAGTCCTTAGGAATTTCTGGTGGAAAGACTATATGGGATAAGAAAAATAAATTCTGTCTATGTATATATGTCCATATGCGCATTAACTATTTGTCATTTGGACAAATTGAGAATCCCTTAATAAAGCCATTTCCATTCTTGTTGACGTGCCAGTTGGTTGTTGGCTTTCCCTCTGTGGCCTTCATCCCAGAGGTGGCAAAAGCCAGCTTCACATTTTTGTGTTAGATTTTGTTCTTCTATAATATCCATGTATATTTCATGTTGTCCAATAAAATGCATTAGTGTGATGTGATTTTCTAAATAGAGTTTTAAAATATTTAACATTAACTCTTCTACCAAATCATTTGAGTAATAATTGCTGCTGAGGTTGTTATTCTGATCATTGTGTGAGACATTTGAATATATGCTTAGAATATCTCAATTAGAAAAAAATTTTAACTTGATTCATCTAAATTTCCAGTTTTACTTTATCTTATAGATGAACAGCGAGTGATTCAAGGTCAAGGGGTTATGGGCTGAAAGTTGTTAAAGAATGTCTATATTATTGATATTGTAACAATTATGACTTAGAAAATGAATTCTAATTTTCACTGGGGAAGCATTTCACAGTTACCTTTGACTGGGAAGGCTCTGCCCACTTTACACAGTAGCGATCTTACCCACTTTATTGCACAGCCCACTTAGCTTCTTCTCAGCAAGTGGGGTCTGTATGCTTCTCTTTCCCCTCTGCAGCTTCCATGCTGCTATTCCTTCACCTTTGTATAAGAACCATCATTCTTTTGAGGCTCTCGCTAACTAATATATAACTTTCTTCCGGTCCTTACTGCAGTTAATTCACTAACATCCTGTCTGTTCTTCCTACGTAAGACTGTTGAAATGGTCCAGAGGTGTCTTCTCCACTCTCATCAAGTACTGCCTTCACCTTAGGTGACTTTCATGCCTATAAGGCAAACCCATGCAACATTTTATCTTTAGTTTCTTGTTCTTTCAGCTCTCATACCTTTGCCTCCTTTGGTTTCAGCCACCCAACTCCTAGGCTGGAGTTTCTAGTAATCCAATGTAGGCTACATTAAGCAAAGAGGTTTTAGGATGCTCAGTTGAAAGATTCAGGGGTAGACTAACTTCAGCGTGGCTACATCCAGGGATTCAACATTGTTTTCTGGATCCTTTTTGCTTTTATTCATCTTTGTCTCTGTTTGATTTGCTTGTGTTTGTATATTGGACTCACTTGCTCCTTCTGGAGATGATTTCTCTATGTTGCCAAGAAAGATGGTCATAAGCAGTTACGAAGTCTTTACAAGTGAGGAACTGACCTGAGAAAGAGAGATTCTCTGCCTCTAACATTCATGGAAGAAGTCTCAGAATAGTTTGATCATCTCTTCTTGGTCACATACCCCTGAGCCAGTCACTCTAGCCAGAAGGATGAACTCACTGGCTTGCATCCTATGCCAACCCCTGCAGTGAGGGTGGGATGGGGTGAGGTTCCAGAATAATCTGTTCAACCAGAACCACATGTAGTAACAGAGGGAAAGTTCCCCAGAGAAAGAGAAGCTGGACGGACAGACAACACAACATCTATTACATATGGCCATATTCAGGATCTTCGAATCACCTAGAACTTCTCCACCTCTGAAATCTTAAATTCTCCATAGCCTCTTATTATCGCAGAACTCTATCTCTTACTCCCAAATAACTGTTCTTTGAGATCCCTTGGTCCTCGTATTTTTTCCCTACTAGACCTGCTCGTCTTCACTCCCTCTGGAGCCAGCCGACATATTTCCTCAGTCATTCTCTTCCTAACACCTTAAACTTCTTGTTCCCTTGCCCTTCTGTCCTCAACTTGGAGTTAATCCCAACTACCAATGTTTTTGCTGCTTTTCCTGCCCCACTGAAGGAGACTGGAGGAAATCACATGAAAGCACAGCTAACTGGTATGCCAAATCCACGGCCTTTGATTTCACTTGAGCCCTTTGTACTAATTGGTAATCCTTCACCATTTTCCTGGTGAGATCTCACTGCCATTCTCCAAAATAACTGTTGCAAATATTCTCCATTGCCTCGAGGCTCTTACCTTGTCTTTTCCTTCTTCACTGTCAGCAGATAATCTCATTTTCTATTTCACCCAGAAAACAGAAGCCATTACAGGAAACATCTTTAATATCTGATCCTAACATAGCCTCATACGTGTGCCCGCCCTTTGTTGCCTCCTTCTCTCCTCCTGGCTTGGTTTATTCCCTCTACCTGGCCTCTTGCATCTTCAGCATCTTAGTCCTATTAGTTGCTTTCTTCTCTCAGCTGTCTTCAACCCTGCCTTCATTAGTGGCTTATTTCCATCAGCCTTTAAATATGCTCAGATCTCTTTCACCTTAAAAAATGTCACTCCTTGTACTCCACAACTTAGAGCCTTATTTTTCTCTCTCTTCACAGTAGAACCACTTGAAAGTAGGGTTTGTATTGCTGACTTTCTGGTCTTACCTCCCATTCATGCCATCATCCATGGCAACCTGGCTTCTCTCTCCACTTACCCAGCTCTCACATTTTTGTTAGCAAATCTCTGTTCCTTTTAAAGTGCTCGTCTTACTTGATCTTTCTGTAACATTTGATTCAATTGACCATTTCCTTCTTGAAACATTCTCTTCTATTAACTCCCATACTGTGACATTCAACTCCTTTTTCTCCTGCCTCTCTGGGTGCTTGAGTTAGATTATTTTAAGGTTATCAGACACAAAATTGAAATGAGAGATTTGTGTAAGGTTAAGTGTGGGTATAATTGTGGGTGGGAATCTTGACCTCACAGTCAGAACCCAATGAAGATCAGTCACACATCCCATAAACTGGAACAAGTTGTTAGTCCAGGAACTAGAGTGCCAGTTTCAGGGTACCGTGCAGCTGCCATGGCTGGACTCTCTTACCCATCCCATGAATGCTGGTGTCCTTTGATGCCGTGATGATTCAACTTCTCCCTGCCTCTGCTTCTGCTGCTTCTGCTGATACCATTGTCAGCTCTCCACTCCTCTCTCCACCTTTAGCATCTGCTTCTGCTTATTCTGGGCTTCCTCTTCTTTATGTTTTCTAGTACTTTCTGGCTTTTCTGTACATCCCATTTCTGCTCCCACCATTAACGGCTCTTGCTCTGTCTCTCTGTGTTTTGCCTCCGGAGGGAGAACTTGGTTGGCTTAATCCATCACTCTTCAGTGTGAGCAACACTTTTACACCATGTCATCTTCCAGGCCAGCAGCGACAAGCCTGTAGATAGGTTTTCTTTGCATCAGGCACCCATTTCTGGTCCATCTACTGTGGTCACAGAAGTGGGGTCTCATGTCTGTCTCTTGGATGTTTTAAGTGTTCCATTGGGGTCTGTCTTAGTCCCCTTTTCCCATACTTCATACACTCTCCAGTGCATTAGCTGTTGACTTCAGGCAAGTTACTTATCGCCCTGTGCCTCAGGTTCCTCATCTGTAAAATAGACGTAAAATATCTACCCGTTACGGGTTGAATTGTGCCCCCCCCCCACACCAAGACATTAAAGTCCTAACTCTCAGTACCCTATGAATGTGATCTCATTTGGAAATATGGTCTTTGCAGATAGATGATCAAATTAAGATGAGGTGATTAGGGTGGACCTTAGTCCAGTATGTCAGGTGTCCTTATAAAAAGGGGAAATTTGGACACAGAGAAAGACACACACACACACACACACACACACACACACAGGTAAAACACCCTGTGAAGATGAAGGCGGAGACTGGGGGCATGTAGCTAAAGCTGAAGATGCCGCCCGTTGCCAGCAAGACGCCAGAAGCTGGGGGAGAGGCATGGAACAGTTTGTTTCTCACAGCCCTCTGAAAGAACCAATCCTGCCAATACCTTGGTTTCACACTTCTGGCCTC